AACAGGTTTCACGTTTTCCGGTGTTTGGACTATAGAGCCGAATACTTGCCATTTTTTCAATGAATCTAATTCAGACTTAATTGCGTCTTTCTATTTTGCCCAATCATCTCTTTGCCGACATTCATCAACTAATTTTGGTTCATAATCCTCGTCATTTTTCATTATATCGAGTGCTATAGAATATGCAAATGCATTATCAATATTTGTTTTCTTTCTGTTCTAATATTTTCCACTAGTGGTATAGTTAACAGAAGTTTCAATAACTTTATTATCACTTTCATCATAATTTATAGTATCAACCTCTTCAGGGGTTGTACTGACCTTTTCAGGTATCTAATTATTGTTGATCTCTTCACCAGTATTTACAATTTTCTTCTTTCGTGGATTATTATCCTTGGAACCCAACGGTCTGTCACGTTTTACGCGGGCAGTATGATCATTAGCACTCGGCATTTTCCCTTATGGGATATTTATTTTAGCTGGTGCATTTGCTGCTGCAATATATGATTTTGTAACTCTGGCATTATCATTAAAAGCATCAGACAATTGGTTTGCAATTTTCTGCAAATGCACAATTATTTGAACTTCAAGTTCACTATGTTTCGTATGAGGATCAAATTCAAGTGGTATTTTCCACGAAATTTCTTTTTTTAGTTGATTACTGTCTCCCCCTAATGTCGGAAAATGTGATTCGTCAAAATGACAGTCTGCAAACCTCGCAGTAAATAAATAAGCCGTTGTTAGTTCAAGATATTTTGCGATCGAGGGTGATTCATACCCAACATATATATCCAACCTTCTTTGAGGTCCCATTTTCGTACGTTGAGGTGGCGCAATTGAAACATAAACAGCACACCCAAATATTCGCAGGTGAGATATATTTGGTATTTTTCCAGAGACCAATTGAGTAATGGAATAACAGTGATAACTTGTCGGCCTTATTTTCACAAGGGTTGTTGCATGTAATATAGCATGTCCCCAACATGATACGGGAAGTTTAGATCTCAGTAACAATGGTCTAGCAATTAATTGCAATCTTTTGATAAGGGATTCAGCCAGGCCATTTTGCGTATGTACATGGGGAACAGGATGTTCCACAGTAATCCCAATTGATATGCAATAATCATCAAATGTATGTGATGAGTATTCTCCAGCATTATCTAAACGTATTTTCTTTATCGGATGAACTGGAAATTGTGCTCGCAATTTAATTATTTGTGCAAGTAGTCTAGCGAAAGCTAGATTGTGAGTAAATAACAGACATACGTGTGACCATCGCGTTGACGCGTCAATTAGTACCATAAAGTACTTGAAGGGTCCACACGGTGGATCTATTGGTCCACAAATATCACCCTAAATTCTTTCTAGAAAAGCTGGGGATTCAAATCCAACCTTTGTTGGAGATGGCCTGATTATTAACTTCCCTTAGGAACAGGCAACACAGACAAATTCATTCGGACTCAAAATATTTTTCTTTTTCAATGAGTGGCCATTTGAATTTTCAACGATTCGTCTCAGCATTACATTGCCAGGATGTCCAAGTCGATCGTGTCATGTTTTAAATTCGCTAGTAGCCATTTGGTCTACTAGGTGATATGTTTCAATAGCACTGATTTTTGAATAATATAAGCCGGAAGAAAATGATGACAATTTTTCTTTCACAATTCTTTTGCCATTCACAATCTGAGTTATCAAGAGATACTCATTTTCTGCCTCATTCAATGTTTCAATGTGATACCCATTTTTTCAAATATCACTGAAGCTCAGCATATTCCTTCGAGCTTTGCTCGAGAACAAGGCATTTTCAATTGCCATTTTTGTCCATTTTGGGAGATATACAATAGCCTTTCCTGAGCCTTTCGACCATTTTCGATGCAACACTGATAGTAACAATAGTGGTCTTTCCCATATTCATGTGGGAGAAATAACATTTGTTTTTCAGAATGTTGTGTGTCGTAGCACTGTCGATAAGGCAGATGTTGTCATCAGCTCCAAAATATTTGGCATTCATATCTTTGCAAGAAGGTAAAAATAATAAAAGACATGTATTAGTAACATAATCAAAATAAACTTATATTATATGGGGTAATACAAAAAGGGGGCAAAAAACATCAAAATAACAAAAGAGATACAACATCATTTTATCATTTAACATCATCAACTATATCAAGCAGATCATCAGCATCCAGGTGCGTGATATTTTCATTCATCACATTGTCAAATGTGTCATCGTGGGCAGCGTGATTTGTTTCGGAGGCAATTCTTCCCTATCTTTCTATTGAGGCCCGATAAAATTCAGCCAAGTGACTAGCTGTGCGACAAACATGGGCCCAATGGCCTTTGATTCCACACCGGGTGCATTCCTCGTCATTATTTCTGTTTCTCCCGGTGTTGATTCTCTGTTAAGGTCTGTACGGCCTTCTGTCATTATAACACCGATTTGGCACATATCGGGGCCTGTTTTGATAATTATTATAACTGTATGCGTTTGCCCGGCCCCGTCCGCGATTCTGATTTCGATCGCGATCAATTCGCTGATTTCTTACTTGCCCACGACCATGCACCGGATTTGCCGAATGTATTGCATTTGCCTCTGGAAATTTATTTGCACCTGTCGCCCGAGATTCGTGATTTTTCAACAGCAATTCATTATTTTGTTTGGCCAATAAAGGACAGGTGATCAGCTCAGAATATTTCTGGAAGCCTCTTTCACGATACTGTTGCTGCAAAACCATGTTAGAGGCATGAAAAATGGAGAAAGTTTTCTCCATCGTATCAGATTCAGATATATTTTCGCCACAGTGGCGCAGCTGTGATGTTACTTTAAACATGACAGAATTATATTCTTGGACTATTTTAAAGTCTTGAAGCTGTAGGCTTTGTCATTCGCTTCGTGCCCTGGGCAACAATGTCAGCCTCAAATGATCATATATTTCTTTCAATCTCTCCCACAATTCAAGTGGAGATTCCAACGTGACATACTGCATTTTCAGTGTCTCATCGATGTGATGGCACAAAAAGATCATGGCCTTTGCACGATCTTGGCTCGGGGAGTTTTTATCGCGGGCAATGGTATTTTCCAAGTCCAGTGATGTCAGATGCATTTTAACATCGCGAGCCCATGCCATATAATTTTGGCCAGAAACGAGGAGAGTGAGAAATTTCTGTTTGACAAGGTTATACATAATAAACAAATAAAATATAAAATATTACCTTGCGGAAAATAAAATATATAATCGTGCTGATAACGTGTTGTAATATTATTATACAATTAGTCAATAGAAATATTAATTATCTTTACTGCTAACCACTATTTTTTATATATTGTATATAATATATATAAGTATATATATATATAGATGTGTGTTGCGTGAGTGTATATATATATTTATATAATGTGTACCTTTATATATATCATATTATATTATTAAGTAGGATAGTATTAATATGAATGAAGAGGCAGAGAGAGATTGAGAATTATGTTTGTGCAGAAATGATTCTTTCATTCAATTCCATTTATATACATGTACAAGTAAAAGTTTGATTGTGAATAAAAGCATCCACATATCCTCTGTGTCGACATATTCGTGTACACTTCACAATATTAGCAAAGTTTTATGTTTTTAGATTAAATAATACTATCTCTATCTCACTTAAATAATCTTACTTTTTATCTAGGGGATGTTTGATACAAAGAAATGAAAATATTTTTATTTTTTTGTTTGGTTGAAATAAAAACTTGATAGTTGAAAAATAAATTATTTCTCATTCTTTAGTTTATTTTTTCAAATGGGTAAAAAAATAAATAAAAATAAAATAAAAACAGTGCAGCTTGTGTTTTTTCTTTTTTTTTTTTCAATTTAACTTTTACAATTTACTATATATTTGCCATTTTTTTCATATTATTTAATTTCTATAATTTTTATATTATTTCAATATCATAAAATATTATATCTAAATTATTATTATAATAAATTTAAAGAATATTTTAAATTACTATCATCATCGATTAAATAAAAAAGTAATAAATTAATATTATAATTCATTATTAGTAACTCTTTAAATACAACTATTTTAAATACCGTGCTCAACTCAAACGTATCAAGTGTAAAAGGACGGAGAGAGTAATAAAATAAATATTATAATATTTTTCTTATTCAATTTATTATTTTTAAGTGATTGATTTATTATTTCCGTTAATAATATACTGTCCTTTCTTTATATATGTAGTATATATATATATATATATATATATATTTTAATCAAATTATTTGTTTAACCAAATAAAAAAATCAATCATCAATTTTTACTGAATTAAGTTTTTTTTACGATCACAGTTTTTACTACCATTTTATACAATTATATTCGTTGTACCAAATGCACCCTAGAATTGTCTTATTTAAATAGTTCATTTCCATTTAATTCTACTTGATGTCGTGTTCCAATATCCAATTACCATTACCAAAAAATTGACTTTTTGTAGCGCCTAAACTGTCCGTAACAATAAGTTCGTTACAAAAAGAAGTTTTTGTTGCAAAATTAATCGATACAAAAAATTATTTTCGTTAGTCAACTTTTTTTTCTTTGCTTCGATAAGTTATCCATAACAAATACATATAGGACAATATGTCGTCCTATATGTCTTTGTTACAGAATTCAAACCGTAATAAAAAATCAATATTTTAATTATAAAAATAAAAAAATTCATATAAAATTATTTTGAAATTTAAAGAAAAAATAATCATTTGTTTTGATAATTATCCGTAACAACTACATATTAAACGAAATATTATCCTAACTAATTATATTTGTTATGCACTTTAGATTGTAACAAAAAGATTAATCTTATAATTATAAATAAAAATTTAAAAAACTATATAAATATATTTTAAATTTTAAAAAAAAATAAATAAATAAAGTTACTGAAAAAGTATACTAAGACGAAATTCACATCGATTCAAAAGGGTTTTCCCCCAAATCGATTCTTTCCCATCCTTAGACCCCAATCGACGGTGCCCTCGACGGCTCGACCATCTACTCCTCTTCCTCTCACCACCGTCCAATCACCGGCGACACTTCAACAGGTCAATGCTGCACCACCGCTCCGCCTTACCGTCGCGCCTGCCTCTGCCCAAACCCGATGCCCCACCATCCCCAGCCGTGGAACGCCGCCCAGACCATCTCCGTTCCGCCACCACTCGTCACCGCGACCACAGCCTCTCCGTCCACCATCGTCTCCTGGACCGAGCTAAGGCCACCGCGAACCACCACCCTACTTCTCAGTCTCCACCACTGTGGCCTCGCCTTCACCCAGCCCAACAAATCCAACCGATGCCGTCATCTCCTCCTCTCATTTAAAATTGTTTGTTTGGGTATTTTTCTATCTTCCCCTTCAATTGATTATCAGGTAAAATTGTTCCAATTGTGCTTTATTTATGGTCACTGATTTTTGTGAAATTTCTTTTTTTGTTCCCCTCTTCTCAGTCACGATTATAAGGTTAATTGTTCTTATTGTGTTTGATTTAAGATTGGTATTGATTTTTAAAGAATTTCAGTCTGGTTAGAACATTGGTGTGATATAGGGGCATGTAGTTAGTTGCTTTGGACTGATACTGCCAAAGTGACAACTTTGAATTGAATTTAGTTTTTCTTGGGAGTTCTTGTTCTTGTTTTGTGGTTTCTAGTTGATGTTTTGTGAAATCAGCTTATTTTTAGGCATATTCGATGATTTGGATTGATATTTCATAATGATAGGCATTGTTAATTCTAACTTGAATATAGTCTTCTTCTTTGAATTATTGTTTGTGGTTGCAAAAAGTTTTGATGGTGGATTCAAATATGAAACCTTTTGAGCTTAAATTAAACTTTGACTTAATTTTTGTGAGGTAAATTGTCATTGTTGGGCTTAATTTGAGGTTTACTTTTGAGGTTGGTATTGATTTTTATAATGGAATTCAATTTCCCTTCTGGTAGCAGGTATGAGATGGTTGTCTATTGTTTTTTGAATTTCTATTGATATAATGAAGCGAATACGCATTGGTGGTGACTCGAGTGTTTCCTTTGAAATCCATTTTGTATAGTTTTTAGGTGTTTCTGTATTAAATAAATCACAATGAACAATTGTTTCGAGGATCCTACAGAGTAATGATATGATGATGGCTCTTCTTAAATGAATTTAAAGGCTTTGAAATAATATCTGATTTTCTACTTAGCTCTGTGAAAGAAGAACTCTTCGTTGTCTTCCCACTTCTAGGTGAAATTTGATTTTTTAAATGGTTAGAAAAAAAGTGAGTAATTGCAAACACACTTTTAATGATTTTATGTTTTCTAATTTTCTTTTATGGAAAATTCACAAATGAACTATCCTTTTTATTTCGTTATGAAGAGTTTTCATATAATTTTGCACTAACTTATTAAAAGTTTACATTTAGTTTTGCAGTTTTAGTTATTCCTCTCTAAAATTCCAGATGATGATTTTATATATTTTTTGAGCTGTTGTGTGATATATTGGCTTATAGGCTGTTCTCATTTACGATTTTAGTTAAATTAGATTTTGCTATACCTAATGATTGCAATGTGCTTTATTTCGATCGATGTTGGAATTAGTTTTAGCCATTGCCCTTGCGTTAAATATGTTTGGTTAAATGTCTTTTAGCTGTTGTTGCATTTTGCATTTTGCTTTGGGAAAAATTAAAAGCTACTCATGACTTGTTGTTTAGTTTAACTGTAGTTCCTCATCGGTGTCAACTGTAAATGTTCGAGGGCGGACAAAATTCAAGTGTGAGAAAATTATGATTAGCCCTAGTAATAAAATTTCTCAGCTTACAGGCGTTCATCTTTAAAGGGGAGTATGTATGGCTATTTATTTCTAATATTGGCTATGATAATTCGTGTTGTAGTTATTTAGGCTTAGTGTAGTCTAATCTGTATTTTGCATCCTACTAGCATTGTAAGTTCAACTAGATTAGTTTGTTAGATGTTAGAATAGTAAGTAATTTAGTATAGATTCAGTCATGCTATGTTAGTATTTGGTTTAGTTTTGGCCTTCTAGGTTTAGTCCTTAGCCTAACATTAGTTCTCTCATTACTTTAGTTAGTTGTAGCCATATTTGTTAGATAGTTTGTAAGTAGTTTAATATTAGCATAGGAGAAACTAGATTTAAGTCAATATATAGCTTAATTAATTTGATTAGTGTAACTCTGTATAATTTTGTCTGCTGCTATTGTAGGAATAATTAGTCAAGCTAGTTTACTTTTTATTTTTGTTGTCGTCTGCTGCATATTTTTGTTGTGTGACCTTGTTTGGTTGCTAGTTGTTCGATGTATAATCTTTTTATATAGAAGTATAGTAGTTGTTGTTGGTTAGTGATAGTTATAGTTATATTGTTAGGTTCATTTTCTGAGTCCTTAGGATATTGTAGTCTAATAGTTTAGCTAGTTGTTCGTATAACTCATTGTTGCTAACCACTTTAATTGTGCTTGCCACCATGGATGATTTGCCGGTATAATCTACAAACATACTTTTGGTTTGTTGGAGTTTTGCTTCAATGCTGCATTAGGTTGGCTGCAATTTATAACTTGCGATTTAGGCAATGTTGATCTTTTAGCCTACTAATTTGTTATAGCATAATTTTACTTAGCTTGCTCTGTTGTATGGAATTATTTTTATTGTAGTAATTGTGTATAAGTTTGTGGTTGTTTGATCTCAAATTTGTAGTTAGGACAGTTAGTTGACTTATATGTTCCACGCAATTTTTTATTCTTGAACAAATTTTTCCCTTTATTTTATATGTTTGTGTTGCAATCATGCTCTAGTTCCAAATATTACATGTAAAGAAATATTTGAGGTCATTTAATTGTACAACGTGAAATGGACATAAAATGGATCCTGTGTAAGATTGTTATATCTAGCATCTGGTTATATCGTTGTAGGGCATGTCTAGTTGGGTTTAAGGTAGTTGTATGGTTGAACGTTATTTTTAGGGCTTGATTGGTGGTTACTTGGTTGCTATTGGAGAATTGTGTTCGTTTTTTTTACTGAAGGATTGTCCATCTATGATCGTGGTGATTTATAATTATTAGTATATGTGTAAGGGGAGTTGGCCCCTATGGTCTATGTTGTGTTATTTATTTTCATAATGTTCAGGGGTTAGCCTATTTTATTAGTGCTTTTCGAGTTTATTTGTTATTATACTTGTATTTAAGATAGGGTCCCTAGATCAAGCAAAAGTGTAGTTTTATTTTATTATATTCATCCTCGTAACTAGCGCTCATTTAACCTATTTATATAGGTGATACCCTAGCCATTGTTAAGGTGTATGTTACAACTGTAATGGTCCTGGAGACCGCACTTATCCTCCCAACTAATGCTGGAGCGAAAATTCTCGGTGATGTACTCGACAGAGATAATATCGAGTGGATTTACCAGGATGTACGCAATTTTTTATTTACTTTATTCTTTTGGAAATTAAATTACTTCAATTTCTGTAATAAATGCTTATATATTATTAAAAACACATTACAGTTGGTTCGCCGCCCGTGATTGCAGCCTCCATGATTCTGCACTCGACTTGCTGGGTCATTCATAGTAGTGTTTATGAGTTGCCCTTAAGATTGTACTTCCGTATGATATCAGAATTATCTATTTACGTATTACTTTTGGGTTTTGCGTATCGTTATTTAGTAGGTTGTTATGTTGGTGTACGGATTGGTGTTTTGTTGGGATGTTTTGTTAGCACCGTTGACGACTAATATTTTATTTTTGGCTGGACTATGAACATCGTCTTATTGATGACCATGTGTAGTATTTTGATGGATTTAGAAAGAATTATGATAAGATTAAGTTTTAAATTATCAAATGGACTTTATTTATGGCGACAAAACTAAAATGCCACACAGGGACGTCTTTTGTAGCATATTTTTAGTTACGGACAGTGGCCTCTACAAATGGTAATGAATGGTTGCCTGACTTTTGTCATGATTTTTTGTTGCGGAGGGGGCAGTCCTGTCGTAATGTATTGTTGTTACGGACACATCTTGTAACAAGAAGTTTCCTGATAAGATTAGACATTTGTAACGCATTTGTTGATTCGGACATATGTCGTAATAAATATTTTTCTGACAGTATTCAACTTTTGTTCCGCAGTATTTGTGTCAGATATTTGTCGGTTCAAAAACATGATTGATGTTTTTGTTACATACCAAAAAATATAACAAATATAATTAACACGTGCTTATTTTGAGAGTTGACCACCTAATATTTGTTACGGATTTTGTTGCGACACGAACTTTTTGTACCGCGATTTTTCATAGCGGTCATAATCCATAACAAAGTCGATACAAAAAGCTATTTAGCACGAAAAATGAGTTTTAGTTACGAATATTTGATCGTTACAAAAAGACCCTTTTTTGGTAGTGTACCAATTATCCAAATTATATATATATATATCAAAATACACTCACATTATGTATAAACCCAAAAGTGTTTTGAACTTCTATATTTTATATGTAAATTAACTACTAATATAATATTAATTTTTTAATCAACTATAAAGTTGTTTTGAAACCATTTAGATGAGACAATAATATATATATTTATATATATTTGTTGAATTCTAAAATTTGGAGGTTTCAAATAGTTCCTTGATTCGTTGGTGTGGGTTTCGAAAATACTCCAGAGAGTCTGTCCGTCGTCGGATTAGAGGCGGCTTCTGCGATGGAGTCTGCACGGCATTGATTTTAATCAAGGCTTTGAGTCTAAACGACCGATTTCGATGGATTTAAACGAACATCTACTAAAACTCGGATAAATTTACTAGAAAACGGATAAAAATATGCTAGAAATATAAATACAAGTAATTCGAATTAAAATGCATAAATGGAAACTAAAAACTACGAAAAGAAAATAGAGAAATATGTGAGTTCATCTTCTTGTGCGTGTGTGTGATGTATTTTTTCCTAGTTTTAATCCTAAGATAGAATAACTGCCTCTTCCCACTAAAAGGGGCAGTTCCAATTATTCCTCCATCACTCTCAACCGTTTGGTAACCTCCTTCCATCATCTCCAACTGCCTGGTAACCTCCTTCCATCAATGTCCAACTATCTGGTAACCTCCTTCCACTACCTCCAATTGTCTGGTAACCTCCTTCCATCAACTCCTAACCACATGGTATCCTCCATCCATCAGCTCTCAACCACTTCCATTGTCTCTGGACCGGGTTCCACTTGCCCTGAACTTCTTCCACATCATTTGGACCAGATATGGCGCTTACTCCGACTTGTTTCCATCGTATTCCTAGTCGGTCCACGGGGATATGTCCCCAACAACATCGAGTTAAATGGAATCTTCGGTTTTCCTTTTGTTGGTTTGTTCCATGGAGCTTTTTGAATAAAGTATGAAAGTGCATAGGCCCTCCACTAATGTTCAGTACGAAATTATTAACTCAGGGCCAATGGAGGTAGTTATCCCATGATCTGTGGAAGCTGTTGCTTTCTATTTTGTGGAGGCAACCTTCCTTTACTTTGTGGAAGCACTGCAGTCCAATGGAGGTAGCTGTTTTCAATCCAATGGAGGCAGCAATTTCCAACTTTTTGGAAGCATTATTCCAGGGTGGAGGCGTCATAATCCAAGGAGTTTATGCCCCAAGATCTATGGTGGCTGCTGCTTTCGGCCCTGTGGAAGCACCACAATCCAATGGAAGTTGTTGCTTTCGGCTCTATGGAGGCAACAGCTTTTGGCTCCGAGGCTTGAAGCTCCATTGTTGTTGAGTGGCTCCGTGGCCAATGAGTTATGACTCCACTTTTGTCTTTGAGCCTCCTTCACGTTCAGGTGCTTTTGGACCCATGTTCAACAATGCCCTCCTCAAAATGGTTGGACAATTGCTTCCATTGAGCCCATGTCTTTTTGCTTTGAGCCGTTTGCTTGAATCAACTGTGGTTACTTCTGTCAACAAGGGATCCTCCTCGACTTTCACTTCTTGGACTTCAATTCCATCCCAAAACATCAATGTTTGATGAAGTGTCGAAGGCACACACTCGCATGCATGAATCCAATTCCGTCCCAAGAGAGCCAAATAGATTTGGCCTACTATCGATCACTATGAAAGTGATGATATTTCCTTTGTCCTCCACTTGAACACTCAAAGTGATCATATCTGTTGGTTTGTAAGAATTCTCCATAAAATCGGTAAGCCGTACAAATGTAGAAATCAAATCATCACTAGTCTTTCCGAACTTCCGTAGGGTTTCAATTGGCAACACATTCACAGAAGCTCTACTATCCACCGGAACTTGGTCAAACGGATAGCCATTCATCGAGACCCGAATGTGCAAAGGCTTGACACGTTGGTTTTGGCCACGCCCGAGCCTCTTAAATTCTATCATCGTTGCCACATCATTCCATTCGAAGATAGGCTCTTCGTCAACGACAACTTCCTCTAACTCTTGAACTACTTCTGGAGGCTCTTCTACTTGCTTCCTTTTTTGAAAAGACTCCATAGCCTGGTTCCTTAGCGGCTTCACAACCTGTTTTCTTTTTGGAAGTGGCTCCACAACCTGCTTCCTTTCTGAAAGTGGCTCTAGAACTTGTTTTTTTAACGGTTCCACAGCCTGCTTTATTTCTTGAAGCGGCTCCACAACATGCTTTTTCTTTGAAAGCGACTCCACAGCCTTCTTCATTTTTTAAAGCGGCTCCACAGCCCGCCTTCTCTCTAAAAGCGGCTTCACAACTTGCTTCCTTGGTAGCTCAATGATTTGCTTTCTTTCTGGAAGTAGCTCCATAGCCTGCTTCTTTTCTTGAAGCGGCTCCAGAGCTTGCTTTTTCTCTAAAAGCGGCTCTACAGCCTGCTTCCTTGGCAGCTTCATGGCCTGCTTCCTTGGCGGCTCCATGGCCTGCTTTCTTTCTGGAAGCGGCTCCACAGCCTGCTTTGTTTGCGCCTCCATGGCCTGCTTCCTTTCTGGAAGTGGCTCTACAACTTGTTTCCTTAGTGGCTTCACAGCCTGCTTTCTTTCTTGAAGCGGCTTCACAACCTGCTTCTTTGGCGGCTCCATGGCCTGATTTCTTTCTGGAAGCGGCTCCACAACCTGCTTCTTTTTTTGAGGCAGCTCCATGGCCTGCTTCTTTAGCGGCTCCATAGCCTAATTTCTTTCTGAAAGCGGCTCCATAGCCTGCTTCTTTTTTGGAGGCAGCTCTATTGCCTGCTTCCTTAGCGACTCTATAGCCTGTTTCCTTAGCGGCTTTGCAACCTGCTTTCTTTCTGGAAGCGGCTCAATATCATGTTTCGTTTTTGGAGGTGGCTCCATGGTCTGCTTCCTTGGCGGCTCCATGACCTGCTTTCTTTCTAGAAGCGGCTCTATAGCCTGCTTCTTTTTTGGAGGCAGCTCCACAGCTTGCTTCTTTGGCGGCTCCATAGCCTGATTTTTTTTTTAAGCGGCTCCATAGCCTGCTTCGTTTTTTGAGGCGGCTCCATGGCCTGCTTTCTTTCGGAAGCGGCTTTACAAACTGCTTCCTTAGCAGCTCTGCAACCTGTTTTCTTTCTGGAAGCGACTTCATAGCCTGCTTCATTTTTTGAGCTTCCATGGCTTCTAGAACCTCTGCCTCCGAAGACTCCTTTTCGACTGGAGCCTCAACAACCTCTGGAGTCTCTGCCTCCACAAGCTCTGGAGCTTCCATGGCTTCTGAAACCTCTGCCTCCGCAGATTCCTGTTCAATTGGAGCCTCCAAAGCCTCAGGAATCTCTGTCTCCACAAGCTCTGGAGCTTCCATGGCTTTTGGAATTTCTGCCTCCGCAGACTCCTTTTCAACTGGAGCCTCCACAGCCTCCGGAGTTTCTGCCTCCACAAGCTCTGGAGCTTCCATGGCTTCTGGAACTTTTGCCTCCGTAGACTCCTTTTCGATTGGAGCCTCCATAGCATCTGGAACTTCACTTTTGTCTATTGCTGTTGAAGCTCCATTGCTGTTGAGCGGCTCCGTGGCCAATGAGTTCTGACTCCACTTTTGTCTTTGAACCTTCTTCACGTTCAGGTGCTTTTGGACCCATGTCTAACAATATTATAAAAATCACATAGTATAAAAAAATTTTATTAATTAATATGTCATTGTTAGTTCTTTTATTTTAAAATGATAATTATGAATTTTATTTATTTAATTAGTTAAATTTTAATTCTTAATTATTGTTTTCTTAAAAGGTTAATTAATATATTAATTGTTATCTAAAAATATGATTTTTCTTTTTTTGTCTATCATCTAAAAATATGCTTATTTTTTAAAAATAAAAAATTATATTATAATTTTTTTCTTAATACAATATAAAAGATAAAAAGTATACGCCAAAATTCGTAAAAAAAAATTGAGTCTTCTTTTTAATGATGGAGGTAGTATTTGATTTTCTTCATAAAGTACATACTCATTCATTATTTAAATTAATTTATAGTATTATATTTTTTTAGAAAGTATATACTCATTCATTATTTAAATTAATTTATAGTATTATATTCTTTTAAGCATCTCAAGGTAAACATTTTTTCTTACAAATCTTTTAAAAACAAACTTAAACACTCATTTTAAGAATAACATCTATCTAAACTATATTGTTTCTAGTTGTTTGTTTTAAATTATTGCCATAGGAAAATGAAAAATGAAAAAGTTGTTTTTTTTTTTTTTTTCTGAATAAGCGCATGATTATAATTGTGTCATATACAATTTTACAAGAAAGGTAATTTTTTAAAATAATTTTTTATGGACAAAAATATTTATAACCCACGCTCGATTTCTAGAGTATGGATCATTATTCTTTGTAATTTAAAAATAGTATGAGACTCTTTATATTTTTAAAATGTTACACAATTTTTTTTAGAGAATTATGTAGAATATTTTTTAAAATACGAGGGAATATTATGCAATTTTTAAGAGATTTTATACGATATTTTCAAAATACGAAAAAATTTCGTACAATTTTTAAAATATAAAGGAGTATGATACACTTTTTTTAAATCTAAAATAAGTTATAAATAGTTTTGCCTTTTTTATTTTAAAGATATTGATCAGTATCTTTAATAAACAGATATTTTAAGAAGGATAAGATTGTATTTGCACATTTGATTAATTGTAATAATAAAAAATTGATGACTAAATTGGATGTTTAGATTTCTGTAAAAATAACTTATTTAGATAAAATATACTCCTTCTATCTTGTAAAAATATAGTACTCAATTTGTTATTTTAACGTGTCTACCAAAAGTATGTTCATATCATATTTAATAAATCTTCTTTAAATTTATGCCAACTATTTTTTCATTTATTTATAAGAATATCACTCATAGATCTTACACAAATTTTTAGAAATTATAAGTATTAGTGTAACACTCCGGCCCGTAAATCACACGCATCTTGAAAAATTTCCCAAGAGTCACACATCTTCAAATTACCCTATTAATATAAATAGTTCATTCAATCAAATTATTCTCTATTCAATTTTGAAAGACCTAGTTCATTAATACATAGAAGTTGACCTAGCAGCAACTTAACTCCAGAGTATTATAATTACTAACCTTATAAAATTTCATTCATTACGAAAGTACACAAATAATACTAAAATAGTACTCTCCGTCTCAACTAAAAGGATTCAATCATTATCGTATGTTCCATTCAAAATTATTCATTTATTATTATAGTAAAAGTAACCACACAATAATATCAAAATACTTTTAAATTTTATATAAATTACAAACATATTATTACAAATATACATAAACTACAAATGACAAAAATATCAAAATTATTTTATATGCTTTTACTAATCAATAAAATATTATTATTTTTTTAATTTACTAAAAAACTCGAATGGAAAGAAAATGAGTTTTTTTCTTAGTTTCTGTATCCAAAATATTTAAGCATATAATTTTATAAAACAGAAAAAGTAATTCATTTAAAATTGAGTAGAAACATTTCAACAAAAATAATATAAATTTATTTAAAAATAAAATGAAAATGATTTGTTTGAATAAAAATGGATAGGATAAGTGTATATTTATTAATTTTTTTAAAAAAATAAGAATCAAAGACTAAAATTAAACTAAATTAATAAATAAATGATCGATAATATTATTTTATTAAAAAAAAATTAAACCTGACACATATTTATGAAAATGATCAAACCATCATTTTAATAAAATAAAAATTTAATTCCAAAAAAAGTCGTAGCCTTAACAAAAGCCTTATTTGTATATGTAAAAAAAAAAAATTCTCTCGACGCTTTAGGTCACTTACCACACATGATTAGCCTAGTATAACTTGTTTGTCGGCCAAAAAAATAAAAAAAAAATAAAAAAATAAATGTTGTGTTTGGTTACAAATTAGATCTAAAATTTACATTACAATCATCATTTTTTTTATGCCAAAGTTTTTTTAATTGACCTAATTATAATATCTTTTTTTTTATTCTAATAAATAAATTATATGCATTACTTTTTTATTTTTATAAACTAATAATTTTAATTATATATATTTATTTATATTATATAAAATTTTATTTTCTAAGCTATTATATTTAGGCAAAATAACAAAAAGTTCACTGTAATTTTTCAAATTTGTTGAAAACTCCAATGATTCTAAAATTCAGTAAAATTTACTTGTGGTTTAAAAAATGTTAGAAAACTCTTTTCCGTTAGAACTTAATGGTCAGTGCATCTCACGCGCTTATATTGCAATTTTTGGTACAAAATTTGATATAGCACTATGTAAAATTATTTCTCAAAGTATTTCAAAATATATTAATTAGGGAAGAAGAACATTTTAGCCATTTTACTTATTTTTTAACAAAAAAATTAATTAATTAAATAAAATACTATTTTTGGATTTCATCGACCACTATGCACTGCTCATTTGCTGCCACCCGCAGCCAAAGACCGCCTCGCACCACCCGTCATCTATTTCCTTCCTTCAGCCCAAATCGATGCGATTCGCCGGGAAAAAGAAGATGCAATCCCCGATTCCAAATTGTACTTATTTTGATTCGATCCAATTTACCAATAATTTTCAATTACATATATGCTTTATCAGTTATTGAATTTGGCTATATAGCAAAAAGAAGAAGAAACGCACAGAAGGAAGGAGAGTATTTATAAATAAATAAATTATGGTGTTTGTGAAAAAAAAGAAAAAAAAAACATAAGAAAGAAGACGAGCAAAAAGGAATGTGAATAGTTATAAATAAATAAATTATGGTGTTTGTGAAAAAAAATGAGATGCAGAAAGTAAGAAAAAAAAAAAATTGGTGAAGAAGAAAAAAAGAAAGTATTAGGCGCGCAATCGGAGCTGCTGGACGGTGTGGAGGTAGAAAAAGACGTGTGGACGGTGGTGGAGGTAGAAGAAGACGGTGGTGGTGTGGATTGGGTGAAGAAGAGAAGGGGGAGGTGTCCGAGGTGAGACAGAGGGAGAAAGAGAGATAGAGTGGAGAGAGGTGGGTTTGAAAATTTAATTTGGAATTTGATTTACGATTGAAACAGGACATAGTGGTCTTTGTAAATGTTTAAACCTGTGAGTGCATTTTAGAATGAACGAGTGAGTGTGCAATATTTTTAGAAACTACAAGTAGATTTTATAAAATTTTCAAACTAGAAAAATTTTCAGCAAAAATTTTAAATATTTTGCTGAAAATATTTAAAATATGCTCTTTTTCCTTACATTTATATAACTTTAAAAATATTTAAAAAATATGTTTTTAATTAAATATGGTTAATGTTCAACTTGCAACAAAATACTAATATATCATCAAATTTCCGGATACACCTTTTTAATTTGTAATCAAATGCAGTCAATGCCAAAATATAAGCAAAAATCAATATTATAACATTGAATATTACCTTTATCAATTTTAGTCCGAAAACAAGAAAAAATCAGAATTGATCCCATTTACAATAAATTTCATCAATTTTAATCATTGTATTGACACGTCAATATGTTTCGATGATCTAGCAGCTTATTTGGATGATGTGTTTATTTAAACACGGCCGTGTTTATGTACTTTAAAAAATTTCGTAGCAGCGCTGCGGCATTGCACACACATTAATGCAGCAAATAAATCATTGACGGCAAATACATAACTCTGAGCATCAGCCTCCAATTCGGCGCCGGCGACATCGAATTGTAAAAATTTTGAATTTGAATAGTTGTATGATGTGATATAAATAGGTGTTGATACTATATTTTGAATGTAAAATTGATTTTTTAGTATAATATAAAAAATAAAAAATAGATATTTAATTTGATGATTTTGGAGAAAAACAAAATTGGATGAATAGTGAATTTAAAATCCAATCGTGCAAACAAACACACCCTAAGAACATTCCCACGCACCCGGTGAACATGCGGCAGAGTAGGCTGTCTCCGATTTGTTCACCGGAACAAGCGTAACTGCAACACTGCTTCATACAGGTCAGGCCATCAGGAGGCTGTCAATTGCACTCTAATATTATATGAACCATTGTGTATCAATTTTTTTAATCTAAAAAAACATACAGACACATCATGTCAACTTTTTTCTTCGGATAATTGTAGGGTATTTAATTAAAAATATAAAGAAGGAATAAGTGATTTTGTCCCACATTTTATCTAATTAATTTATTTTGACTTGAAAAAATAAATAATCAGATAAAATATTCTGTTGCAAATGAATGCAACGTGTAGAAGTAGACAATTTTTTTTTCTCTTCACGTGATTAAATTAAATACAAAAAAAAAATCTCTCAATATCTGTTCTAAATTCTTAGAAATTTCTCTGTAAATTTTCTTTCAAAAAACTTTATGGTTCGGTCTGTGGAATCCGTTATTCCGTTTTGATTTGTTCTATCATGTGAGACAATCGGTGGAGGCCCGAATTCGGTTCAAGAAAATCGTGTCCTATGCGAGGCT